AGCCACAGCTGCCATTCACTTCTTCGCTCTCGTCTTCTGCCACCAACACAGCGTGGCAATATCGTTCATACACCATTTGAGTATTTATTAATTAGAGGTGGAAATTACGTAAAGGGATGCCTTGTACTTGCCCTCCACCGAATCTTCCGGGGAATCTCTTCATAAATGTACCTCATGTGGCTGTCTTTTTTAATGCAAAAAGGTACTTGCTGGTTAGCAACCACTCATAACTAGTATTCGAAGGCACTATATCAAAAGGTGCCAAGAAGAGCACCCAATGCGTGACATAATTTTGTTAAATAGCATTGACACTATTATCGAAAATTTTAATTCTATACTTAGTACTTATGAGTGCATCACTCAGACTCAAATTGATTCGCTAGTCTGAGTTTGAGTGAGTACGGGTGAGTTATTTAGGTGAGTTTGAGTCCAGCGGAGTCCGGTTCAAAAACATTTTCGCGAATGTGAGCCCGGTTCAGGAAAATTTTGATGAGTCTGAGTCCAATGGGAATCCTCAGCGCAAAAGTGAGTCTCATGAGTTTCATTAGTGAGTCTCAGTGAGCTTCACAATTTTGGCCAACGTATGCATGACACCTTTTATCTAATAGTTTTTTGAAGTATAATCTAACGCATAACATGCTTGTGAACATAAATTTGGAACAATACGAACAGAACGAACTGTCTTGAAAGCAGTAAGACACGTAATTCCATACAAGCACGTGTATTGCTACTAAACTGTGGGCTCTGACGAACGAAGACCGTGTCATGGTCTACACGAAAGTAACGCCCCCTGCTTGTGAATGCATACATGGAAGGTTCATGTATACGAAGAAAGGCTTGTTTTTCTAAGCATATGGTTTCAAATATCAGCTGTAGAAATGAATAACGAATGTGAGAGGCTCAATGACAAATTAAAGCCAGATGAGCTCAGCAATGCTGAAACGAGGAAAGTCATTTAAAAATAACAATAATTTTAATAACAATTCAGTGAAAAAAATTTATGGCCGCTGACCGATGTTGGTATACTCCATTTCTTAATCTTTTCCCCAATGTTTATACCCGACCAGATGATATTTCTTCAGACACACCCTCGGCTTCAATAGCAATGTAGTTCGTATATCGCTAGCTTGCTGGCATACAGAAATTAACAGAGGTTGCCCGGACATATGCTGCCGTGTCCATGATTCAACATAAATACTGAACAAGCATTTGTTCAGATATTGTCCGGAGGCCCCGCACATCTACGGAGGAAAAAAAAACACTTTCCCGCGAGTGCACTTTGCATCACACGCGGCTACCCAAAAGAATTCACATGACCTAAACTAAGAGCATTGGCTACAAGCCGGCAGATTTCTAAGCGTAAGTCGTTCGAAGGTAACTGTACTCAGATTCATTTCTACGCATCAGTTCTTATTGCTTAGCCTTGTACGACAATTATACAAAGCACAGTGACAATACAGAGCAAAACAGTATGGCACGCCCAGTACAGACCCGATTCATTCACACCTGACACCGAACCGTGGAATGCCTTCGGTAAGGAAAAAACACACTCTGCCCGACCGGAAACCCACGTCAAGGAGATCTGTCAACTCTGCGCGATTGCGCGAGCACGCGCGTTGGCAGTGGTGCCAAGCAGGCAACAACGGCGACAAAGATAGGTCAACAGCGCCAAGAGACCGTCCAGATCTCAAAACCGAAACGAGCACGAAACTGCGTAGTTCAATACTCACAGACTGCCGACTTAGTCGGTCGATCGGCGTTAGCTCCGAGAGACAGAAACGCCGTCACGAGTAGAAACACCAACCCGCCACGGTGGCGCCAGTACACGACTGTGCAAGCAGAGGACGGTGCCATGTTGTCTCTATCGTTCTGCTTATGTGCCTCTATGCTTTTCTGAACAGCGTCAGAACGCACAGACTGGCAGACGACTCCGTAGCTATCTTGCCCTCAAACTCGATGAAGACCCTCTCTCTTACTCTCGCCATCTGCCTCTCCTCTTTCTTGGCGATAACGGCGGGGATGGTAACTCCCTTTCGTGCATTCACGTAGGCCACGTTCCCCCCCCCCTCTCCAGCATGGGGGTCGTTTGTCTCGTCGTAGTTGCTTACCTCCGACTTTGATACTGGATAACCACGCCTGTGGATATGGATAGTGACGTATGGTTTCAGAAGAGAGACGCCGTTGCTCTGCACTTGGTGCGTCTTTCTTGTACTTCTAGGTCACTGCCGAAGTTCACATGGTGTCTGCGTGGTCTTTTTACATGGTTCTTTTAGGACAGGAGATGGGCGGGTTGAGGGTGGGGTATCGTAGAGGCACGAGCAAAAACAGACACAACCGCACACTTTGAACTAACGATGGATTTAATTAGGTGGGTGAGTCATGCATTTGAGAGAGAGAGAGGCTCTTTATCAGGGAAACAAAGATTTTTGCCGGCGTCTGTTATCGCTGACATGCTACTCTGTATAACAATGAGGAAGGGGACGGAAAGATTTTAGTAGAGAGAAAAAATGATAAGAAAAATATTTCGACCTAGTGAACCTGATAAAACTTTTTACATCAGGGTATAAGGTAAATCAAGGCTTTCCTACGTGAGATGTCATATTAGAGCTTTCCGAGAAGTTATAATAATACGGATAAGTAATAATCAGATAAGTAAGTGATCAATGACAGCATGACCCGACGATGTTTACAATGTCCTAGCACAGGGACTAATATGTTCCGCAACGTTAATTGTTCGTGGCAGATCATGTCCATTTCTCCTTCGAACAGTTGCCTCTCATCGCGGTATGATCAACGATGCATTTGAAATGGTTTGCAATAGAATGCTGGGCAATTAGCATTTCTCTTACCAATGACGACAAGCTCTTCACAACTGAAAGCCTCGTAAGCACACTTTGTGTTACAGGGGGGTTTCTTGAAGGGCCAGTTGGTATACATGATACTGAGGGAACAGTGCAAAAAAAAGGGAAGGAGAGAGATTGAACACATGACACTTTGCACTAGCCCCATTGCTCACGCATGCAGTCATGGTACTAAAACCACTTTTTCAGTGACATTCTCGAGTCAGGTAAGCCTGCAAAAATGCAGCGCTAATACAACGATCCGAATTGTAACTGCTCTAGGAAACGTGATCGCATCAAATCAAATAATAGCGGGAAGAATACCGTCCCCGAGCTGGCACCCTAAGCAACATAATGTCTGGCTTCGGCGTAGCTGTGAGGCACTTGAGAACAAATCGTGGCCTGCTTTTAACACAATAAAATAAAATATGCTTTGAAAATTTCTACCGGCGTTGTTTTTTATGCAATACTATACCGTGTTGAACTGCCTGTGGTAAAATTCTTAGACATTGGACGAAACATACATGAATGGGGGTTTCGTTCCTTGTCTAAGAAATGTTGAGCAAGTATAGTTGATCATGGAGTACGTTATTTTTATATTTATCTCGTTTGGCCCTCCATAAAAATTATTATCCGTGACGTTCAACATGCATATAGCACCCATTTGTCCAAAAGAAACAAAAAAAAGGTTCTTGTGTCCAAATAAGCTGATATTTTGTTGCCCACTGGCGGCTTCCTGTGTACCGATCTTAATCTAAGGTGCGCTAATAGCGCAACCAGGTCACAAGCACTTTTTTTTTCTATGGCTTGAAACATTCTTCCGATAAATATGATGACGGCGCAGTACTTCTTAGTAGTTCGATGGTGAGAGCTGCTGTAGATTTTGATTGGTCACTGTCTCAGTTAAGCACAAATGTTCTGGATGTGTTTCCCTCATACTTGCACATGGTCAGTTGTTTTGGATGTTGAGACCTCGTGGCAGCAGTGTCGTTTCAATATAACCGCGGAAGCCTGCAATCTGCGACCGCTTCGAGAGTGACAGAAAAACAGTCAACTACGCCCAAAACACCCATCTACACAAGCGGCAAGCGAACGCAAAAAAAAAAAAACGCGAGAAAACAGGAAAGACAACGATAGCAGCTTTATCTTGCGACGCTCCGTCAGCAGCCAAGATTTCGTCATACGGCGTTAAGCGCCGCCAGAAGCCAAGCCTCTGAATGGCAACACGCGCACACTTTGCGGCATTGCTGCCCAGAAATGTCCCAACAGCAGAATGCGGTTAATGTCGTCGTTGTTCTAGTTGTTGTCGTTGTTGTCGTCGTCATCGTTGTTGCCGCTGTTGGTATGGGGGAGTTGTGTTGGTGGTGGTAGTGATGATGACAATAATAATGCTAATGATGATGCTGGTTATCATGGTGAAGGTGCTGATGACGATGGTGATAATAATGATGGTGATGACGGTAATGATGACATAACCCATCACCCAACTCGATAAAGGGCCTGTGCACATACGCGACCAGGCGCAGCTAAAAGTACAGAAAGGTAATGCAAGGAGCTGCATTTCGTCTACACGGGGAACAAAAATTGCGGCCCAGAGAGCATGGGTTCTATCAGTGCGCACGCGTCTGTGGATTGTGCTTCCGCGAGATTATAGCAGTGATTCGTAGCACATCTTTCTCGAAACTTCGCCTTATACGTCATAAACTGCTTCATTAAATGAATTTTATGTCTTAAGTTGACTCTACGTCTCGTTATTTTATATCATATAATCAGTTTTTTTGTTTTGAATTGGCGATTTTGAGGTTGTTGTTTTTTTCCAGACATGTATGCTATATTGTATTATCAGCTCATTGCTATGCTTACGTATATTATTTTATCCTACTCGGATGGGAAGCTCTCCCACAGTTGTTTCTTTTGAGCCTTTTCCGTGTGTGGCATCTCCGTAATACAAGTATTGTGCTGGTGTTTATGCTAAAATCTAGCTTGATTGATTGATGATTGATTGATTGATTGATTGATTGATTGATTGATTGATTGATTGATTGATTGATTGATTGATTGATTGATTGATTGATTGATCAGGCAAGGGTGCAGGTGATGTCGTGCTCTTTATGCATGGCTGCCACTTTACACACTTCGCACTTCAGTGGCTCCGTGGCCTCAGTACAGCTGGTAGACGGGTCCCATGGAGGACTTGATGTTCAGCGAGCGCACGTTGTCCCATCCGTGCCTAAGCTTCTCCAGGACCTGAGTCACGACAGCCATGACGTTGTCGGCCAGCTCGTAGACGTCCATCTTCACGTGTCCTACAGAGATGCCGAACGCCGGATCCTGCACGTGATTTAACGAACTTCAACGGATTCAACGGAGCACCGGATCCTGCATGTGTTTAACGCATTACAACGGTTCCCGTTGAAACGCTCAACGCATTTTAATTAAATTTACAGGCACTGGACTTCATGCGAGCAATTTTTTCAGTTGCTTCAAAGAGAAAATTTGAGCCAGCGACATTTTACAATGCCCGTTTCATCCAACTATATGTGCTTCAGTGAACCCACCTCTCCATTGATCATGCCATCGGACACGTCAATGTTTATAGAAAGCATTAATGGCTTGTCCAAACGAAGTACATGCTGTGTTCAATAACGTTTCTTCTAGGTCCTTTGACAGTAAGCCAGTGGGCTAGGTTTATCAATATGTGGTCTTATGAAACCTTTTCGTGGTTTTTCGCTCACTTCCTAACGCGGCTGCAACCACGACCTTCACTGTGACACTACCCTTCAGGATAATGTTTCCTTTTTATTATTACGTTGAGGATTCCATGTACACTGCAGGCGTAATTTTTAAGTCACCGTTAGGTTTGTCACTGTGTCCAACGGAGATAATGTCGCCCCGCGCCTCGTGTTTTTTGTGTGGGATTGAAAGCGCCACAATGTAGCCGATGATCGTGCTTAAACACAGAAGAAGCGCTCCGGCTGTCTTCCATTCGGCGGAAGTGTTATCTAGGGGGCAGGTCGAGAAAAAAAGGCGTGTTTTCAAAGCATCTGACAGCTGTGGATAGCGTGCCCAGCAGTTGTCATTGCCATGCAAGAGGTCCTGGGTTAGATTCCCCGTGACGGAAATTTTTTTTCTTCGTTTTCCGATCGTGTGTATTTTTCGACGTCAATACCGTGACCGAAAGTACATCAATGAAATGTTCGTGAACCCCGGCACAAAACACTTTCGTGTTAAAACCCTCCTGTAGTTTCGTCTAGCTCTAGATTAATGTTGTTGCCCTGCCGCGGTGGTCTAGTGGCTAAGGTACTCGGCTGCTGACCCTCAGGTCGCGGGATCCGAGACCGGCTGCGGCGGCTGCATTCTCGATGGAGGCGGAAACGTTGTAGGCCCGTGTGCTCAGATTTGGGTGCACGTTAAAGAACCCCAGGTGGTCAACATTTCCAGATTTCTCCAATATGGCGTCTCTCAGAATCATACGGTGGTTTTGGGACGTCAAACCCCACACATCGAAATCATTAAACTGACGTTCTAAATCACTGGTGGCAACACAGCACAAAAAAAACGGAGACAAGAAAGGGTGACGAACAGATAGTGCGGCGTGTGCGTTGCCTTTTCATGCCATTTCTCTTCTTTTGCTCTGTGTTCCCTCCTATGTTTAACCAACACGCCCAAGCTTCGCCAGCGAATTTCGAAAACCGGCAATAAATGCATTTCCACTACTGAGAAACCTGAAAAAGTGCGTAGTCCGGGCATGCCCAGCGATTGCCTGATGAAGAGTTCCCACTGCTCTGTTTACCAAAGCGTCGATGACGTCCACGTTTGACGTAAGCATTATGGGTTACCCTGGCTCGAGTAGAATCTTATTAGGGTAGTTGACAAATTCGGTGTGCCACATACGGGCTACTGTTTGCTGCACTTTATCGATTCTTGCGTCTTACGACTGTTTTGATTGGCGTCCTCTGCAGCGAAGTTCGTCGACCTCTTTCACCCCTTCAGATTTAGGGACGAAAGCGCTGGAGAAGCACTGGCTGTAAAAGTAATCACATGCTTGGCGAGACCATGGCAACCTCTTTTACGCGGCGCGAATGTCAGTCCCATATTTCTGAACCTAATTATTGTGATTACTTCATTGTTATTCGAAACCTTACTCATTCATTCGAACACATTTTTGAGCATTGCAAGACTTGTTTGAGCATGTATTGACTGTGGCAGATGGGCGAGAAGACGGGTACCTATAGTACTATGTGCATAGTAAAAAGGGGGAGGAGAAAGCACGTTGTGGCTCCGGCAAAAAAAGGCGGGCACTGAACAAACGAGCATGGTCGCACGAGTCTTATCGGTTAGCAATCAGCAGGCGACTCATACCTTTGTACATACTGTGTGCTATACCTTTGTGCGTACTGTTGTACGCCTCATAGTTTACGCTGCGTTGAAGCGATGGACCGAATGAAAGCCGATTCAATCGGTGTGCGTTTTTTTTTTTTAGCCAGATTGGTTGATACGTACGAGCCTGACTTTATGTAACCTTCAAGTTTGTTGTTATTGTATCCGCTGCTTCACTCTTGCTTGTGGCGAAAGTTACTTCTCTTTGGCTAGGATAACTAAATTTAGCTTACCGACTTCATCCACAGCATGGTGCTGCGTCTTATCTCTTCAACGGCATCATGCAGTGGCTGTCCCAGCAGTACCGGCGTGATGTACTTCCTTTTCTTGGAGAAACTCTGCCGCAAGACCTTGTTGAGCACTTGGATGTGTTGCTCGCGAGCCAGGAAGCCATCGTATCTCGCCGCTGCGCCAGCGATCAGAACAGCACTCGAACAACGAATGCCGGACTTTCAATTGGATAACGTCTTAAAAAACTCACAGTGCCCCAAGACTGCTCAAATTCGAAGTCCGCCTTCTCCCTTTTCTTTTCATTAAGTATAACGATCCTTCCCCCATCATCTTCCGATAGCTTTTGTGCGCCTAAAATTGTTTTGTGCTGCCAGCGGGATCGGCCAGCCTTTGACTTCGCGACAGTGCCACGTGGTGACGTCATCATGACGTCACACACCTTAGTGGTCTGCGACGTTATAATGCTGCCATATAGCGAAGTCAACCCATGATGATGATTGTTGGTATAATTCGTGCTAACGACACCAACGCCAACGGTCGATTTCGACCTTTTATGAGGCATGCAAGGCTCTCACCTTTAGAAAATTGTCAAATGGTTCGGCTTCACCGAGTAACGTAGTACTGAGCGAAAACACTTAGCAGATACCAATTGCTAAAATGGGACGAGCTATTTCTGATCCGAGCTCAACTAGACGTGTCAATGGTCAGCTTCGGCCAAGGTCATATTGAAGTAAAATTTAGGGTGGGCCCTTGATTACACGGGTTGGACATGTATTAGACTTGTCCTAAGTACTCTACGACGCATTGTCATTCATATCCCGTAATGTCATCGCCAAACTTTCCATTGCTTTCTGGGCTGTCATGCCTAGCGATTTCCCGACTGATGTTTACATCCGCGGAATCTTAATATCAGTAGGTTCAAATTACTGAAATTTTGTATAACTTTTTCGGCCAACTACAGCTGCGGAAGTTTACCAGGTCGCCGAAGACACTGAAGGCTTGACAACAAATGACGGCACAATGGCGTCAAAAAATTTGACCATTTGTGAGAGACATGGCGGTTTCATGTTACCTGATGGCGTTAAAGCAGTCATCATTCATAGAGTGGGTTGCCTGTTCCGTCACCGCGCCCTCCTAATCCCCTGCCACCGCACCTCTCATTCGTAAAAGGTCATGTAGGTTTTTGCACTGCTTCATTCACCTGCTCTGTTTCACTCAATGTCATCATGCAGCTCGACGCTTGAAGGTGTACTGACCCGAATTTTAGAATATGAGTTTACTGCACTGTACACATATATTGCTTACAAAGACATCTCTGCGCAAGTGTGAAGCCCAGTAAACAATGACATTTTATTTTGCCATTAATACTCATTTTCTCATGACGCACCTACTGACATCGACATTGACGTGACGTCAGTACGGTGTCAATTCTGATGACTTCGAGGAAAATTCTGGCTCGTGAGATGACGCCGAGCACCACAGAATTCAAAATGGCTGCTTGGACGTCACCAAAAAGGTTTAGAATGACTGCTAGTTGAACACCAACGGAGCCAGGGATGAAGCGGCTGTCTGAAAAAAAAAGTCACATCTTGTGCGAGCTCGTAAAGAGACCGTGTTGTGACGTCATTGTATGGTAGGAGCCGAGACTAGCTTGTAAAAGCATACTGTTATAACTTTTTTCTTGATTCACTCACACTAACCATCGCATTTTGGGGGATTTTGGGGCTTGTCGTTTTATTAAACGGTAAGAAAATGGCAGTACCACATTAAGGCTTTCGCTTTCAAAACGCTGCCCCACAATATAGTCATGACGTTAAAAGAAATTCCGCACCAAGCCTTTTCATCGCCATGGGCCGCGAATGCATCAGCTTGACTTCGTGAACACCGATGAAGTCGAGGTTGGCAGCCCTGGCTTCCTTGCGCTCTGCCTTGAAGCCGATCAGACAGCCACGGAAGCCCGGCTTCAGGTAGTGCGGTAACCTGTCCAGACAAATGACGAAAGTTTGGCTTAGAAAGACACTAAAATTAATCAAAGAATTTACAGTGTTGACGTATTCTTTGAAAAACCTTGTCTTCAGCAACTCAGTCATCATAGACTTTCTAAACGAAGACAGAATGCAAGTCGATGTTTTGTCCTTAAATTTCGTATATAAATCTTTGCGCATGCACGTCAGTATGACGTCATTTCAAAGGGTTTTTTTTTGTATTTTCTCCACGTTGGCTTAACGTATTTTCCTAAAAATGTGCACGTTCAGTCTTCACTCCACTTAAAAGAGAATGTACATATTGCTTTACCGATTAAGAACTCTGCAAGTACAAGAAAAATCAGTCGTTGCCTGTACTGCGGCAGCGAGATGGTGCACGAACTGAAAGCCTACGTTTTCTCTTTGCGCGTTTTCCCGCTTACCGGGCATCTACTCACTCGAAAAATTTTTGCTGCGAAATAGTGAAAGGGTTGTTCAAAGCAAACAAAAATGCTTGATATACAGGGATGAGCGATATATTGAGAAGTGTGAAAGGCTAACCAACAACTCATTGCCGTGATGGTCAGCAACTACCAGCTGATTTTCTTACTGAAGCAAAACGACCAATACATGTAACCGTATTCGCGATCCGCAGGGGGAACATTTTGCTTACTTAAGGACGCCACTGACGCGCTTGTACTTTTGGATGTTGTAGTCCTTGAGGCAGACCAGCAGGTCGACCGTCTCCACGAATCTGCGGCGCTTTGTAGATGCGGCCCTCAGCACAGTGTTGACGCATTTGTACACCTTCTCCTCGCTCAACCTCTTCAGCAAACTGCGTGAACGCATATATATGTTGTTTATTAGATACACAAATAATTAGAAATGTGAGCCAACATAAAATTATGAATAAAAATTGTTACTGGGCTAGTTGGTACATAGTTATTATGAAGGAAAGAGGTGCAAAACGGAACAAGGACGTAGACGAGACAACAAGTACACGCGCGCAAGTACACTTGTTCACTTGTACTTGCTCACCAAGCCTTTGCCCTTGTACTCATTCCATCATCTACGTTTTCGTCATGTGTTGCGCCTTTTTTCTTGTATATGGAATCGTGAAGCGACGCGAATACATGGGAGTAAGAGTTGACCCTGATTCAACATTCCTTGAAGCGATGCATTCTTCAAGACAGCAACCTGCCTTCAAGGTCATAAACATGCGAAGGGTTCCCCGTTTATAAGAGTAAAGGGAACCAGCTGGTGTTGAGGACTTCTAGTCGAAACCAAGAAGGAGAAACGGCCACGGGCAAGGCAAGTAGTTCGTAGGCAACAGAACCAGTGGTTTTAAAGAGTAACTGACCGCATTGCAAGTGAAGGCAAACACGTGAGGGGGTGACAGAAAATAAGGCTAGTAGACGAGATTAAGAAGCTTTCGGCTATCAACGTTCCCGCTGCAAGCGCAGAATCAGGCTGATTGGTGGAAACATGGCTCAGCCATTTGTGCTGCAGTGGGCGTATTAAGGCTGATGACGAAGCTTCACCACAGAGCCTTCCTCCGCCCCCATGGTCCAACGCAAAAAGTATGGTTAATCTCTTCGTCAGAGGAGCAGGTAGAACACGAAAGTGAAACTTGTCCTGATGTAAATAAATTAATGGTTGTATCACATTGATATAAGCTCGCATAATGCCTATTGGCGTTTGACAGTTGTAGCTTCATTTAAAATGGAAGCATCCTCGTTGACGCTTGGTGTTACACCAATATCCCGACGATTAACATCCGTGATCAATAAATAAACACATCCTCGCGGTCATAGATGCTTATGGCAGCTCTACAGTGCAGAATGCAAAGGAAGCGTAGAAACCATGCTTTCAAGGGACTAAATGATACATTAATTCCTTTTTTTTAGCAAGAGCACTGGGCGAGCGCAGTTGTAGATGTAAAAGGTGCGTTTTCAAGCCTACAGTGTATGCGACCATGGCGTAGTCTTTATTGAAGGACTAAGCCACGTTCACTACACTGTGCAGGCTCAACAAAAAACGTGACCATGTGCAGTGGATAGTGTTCAGCTTCTCTTCTCGCGGGCCAAGAGGCTTAGGTTCGACTACTGTAGACGTAACTTTTTCTTTGTCTTCTATTCATTTGTAACTTTTTTTTGGTCTTCTATTCATTTGTATTCTGACGTCATTTGCGTGACGAAAATACGTCACTGGAGCCTTGGTGGACATGGGCACAAACATTTTCGTATTAAAAAATTAGCTCCACAGTGGATGGAAACTGAATAAAGGCAACGAACTTCTCATAAAGTCCGCCTTTCTCTCAATGGCCTAACCCAGGGGTAGTGTATCGGTCCTGACCCCCTCCCCCCCCGAATTTTTCAATATGCTGAGCCCAAAGCGGCACTCGACCCTATCTGCCTGCGCTCCCCCCTCCCCCGAAAAAATTCCTGCCTACGCCCTGCCTCCCTAGTGGGCACACCTATGTCAAAGGGTGCTGCCTTGAAGAAGACAGCCCCAATTGTTGAAACGTTGGCTACATCGAAGCCAGTGTTCAGGGATTTTTTATTTGTGCATCGGATAGTTCGCCTGTGGTGTCAGACAATACAATGAATTATAACTTAAGGAACACAAATGAAGAACGCAGGACCGCACAACCCATGTGCTCGAGAAGCACGAATTGTCATTGGAGATTGATAAAGTAAGCATTTGCTCACGCATTATTTGTCCAGCAAGTAAGCACCTCGACCTCTTGTGATCGGGATTCAGGGAAAAAGTCTGAGGCAAGCTTTTGAAGTTCTATATATAGCAAAGAGGCATGTATTACGTCTCTGATACGCCCATGTGTCATGGATTCCATTATGAAGGTGTCGACACATATACGTTCTCAAAGGAGCAACAGAGCAGTGGGTACAGCCTGTCTCCTGCTCATAACCTTGTTTTGGCCGCGCAACCCTTTCATATTATTTAACCATCTTAGCAGCGTTATCTACTACTCACATCGGCGTGGGTGACCTAGGTTCCTGTTCCTGTTGCGGCTCGGCTTCTGCTGTAGATTGAGTCGGCCTTGTTGGTTCAGCCGCATCCTCCTGGACCACGTCGGCACTGCTCCACGAAGTAAGAGACAGTAAGAATGACAATACCGACCCATGAGTATACGTTTCAGAGCATGAATTTAACATTAAACAGACATTATAATCCTTCAGCTCCAAGCATTCCCTCAAAGTTCCAAGTCGTGGATCTTCCGCAAAACACCTGCACTGGATGTGAAGGTTCAGTTTCTGGAAATCTTAAAACTTCTTCTCGAATTCTGTAAGTACTAACGTGCCACTCAGCATGACTTGTTGCCAAGGAATACAAGAAAAACAGGACTGCTATCACCGCATGAGGCCCATGTCTGGAGCAAGGCTGACCCCTTTCCATCGTGAACACTGAGCTGTATCAATTAAAAATAAATGTAGGGGATGAAGTTTTCTAAGGCGTCCCCATACTTTAAAAAACAATTCAAATATGCAGGAAGCTGTATCGCAGGGACTGTTCGCAATCAGATAAAGGAGATTGTACGTACCTCATGCCGAGCAAGATCACCCGAATGTGAAATTAATGAGCGATGATGACGGTGATATCTTGTTCTTCATGGCTCTCACCCACAAAGAGGAATGGATGGAGACCATGTAGTCAGGGTGTTTAGAATAAGGCAGCGGGAGCTCAGAAGCACTCGAAACTTAGACTGCGAATGAAATATCGAATAAATGAAAAAATATAACGAAGAAGTAGTCAGATTTCAAAGTTGGAATTACTTAGATGTGTGATAACGTGGGAATTACTAAGATCCAACTCTATCATTCCCCAGCATAGTCTCCTCTAAAGCTTTTGGCTCTACTTGCCCTGATTGTGGTGAGGTTAGTGACTTCACACATATGTTCTGGTGGTGCCCCTCGTTACGGGGCCGAAGTCGGCTCATGGAAGAGGATTGGGACTCTGCCTTATGAAGTGCTGAGTTACTAACACAACTACGGGCTGTCCAAAGAGCCCACGATGCGACGTTGAGGATAGGCCTCCCCGTTCCTACGTGGAAGCAGCCCGCGACGTTGCTCTAAAAGAGTGGCGTTTCTCAGGACCCAATAAAGTTCTCTGACTGCCTGTGTCTTTCCTGTGAAGGAAACTGGCCCTGCGAGCGTTCCTCTAATTTGCGGTTCCGGCCTTCGCCAGCTTTTTCCTTGAATGAGTGATCGAGTGCGGCCAAGCTGCTACCTTAAAAAAATGGCCCGAATCTGCACGTTGCACTGCAAATGCCGTCGAAAGACGATAGTCTTGCGTCTTGAGAGAGTGAACAAAACGTTTATTTGATGTTCTGCGCAAGAAAACCGGTAAATGGTATTCTGGAGGTGCTGCGTTAGAGTGCCTTGAGCGTGTAGCGGAGGCGAACGAGTGCATCGAGGCACGTTAGACACGAGCGCCATCTGGCAGTTATCTTCGAAAAAGAAGGCGTGCGCGCCCGCGGAGAAAGATGCGCACCTGTATCGGAGGTGATAAGGTGTAGAACGCCAAGCGATGGGCAGGTGCCACCACCGTGTTGTCATAGCAAAGCCTTGGAAACACTTACCTTTTTGAGCATCGTGTTGCGCTGTCAGTGCAGCGCGATAAACGTTACAGCCCTTAGGGTTACTTGTGTGTGCGTTTCCTTGAGGAACGTACATGGTTCCCACGCCATCGATATCACATCGGTGAGAAGTAGCGCCTGTAAGTTATAAAAGCGAAAACCATATGCATTGTTATTAAACGCATAACTTGACTTTCAGCATCAGTGGCGTCGACCCGAGGAATAAAAAAGTGGTCACGTGATTAACTCGTAATAGACGAAATTTTCTGACGTCATCGTGTCGTGAGGTCACCACATGATGTCATTGCTAGGTCAAAATCGGGCCGATGACAAAGCATAGCAAAAACCCATTGATTTGCAGAAGGCTTGCGATGCCTCCAACCATGGAGGCAATGTGCAACACATCTACTGAGAAGGGAAGCATTTATATTGAAGGCGAACCAAAATGCACAGGTGAACACAACATACCATTCATGACTGATAAACCTTGTATATAACTGTACACCACTTTGTTACTCATTTATACACTACTTTGTTGCCCCCCCCCCCCGAAGGAAGCATCGAGCGCACAGTAGTCTGGCTGAACAAATCAGAAGTTACGTTTTCCGGCCGTTGGCTCGGGATTGATGCTTCCACGGCATGCTCCAACTCCTTTGTTTGTGTGCCGCGCAGGTGTCTTACGGCCGCAGTTGTTTTTGTCGCGTGAGGTGAATATGCAGGAGATCGAAATTCAGACCGTGAATTCGTGAAAAATGTCTCCCAAGGTCCTCCGCTATGAGGAAAGCTTATAATATCTACCCACAGTGACCACTGTTATGGATTGCTGCAGGCCACGGAGGAATGTTTTTTTTTCCTCCGTACTGCAGGCTCGACTGCAAGGACTATCACAAGAACAAAGCATGGTTGATGTGAACGCCAAGTTGGGCTTGCTGAGGCGTCACCCGATGGCCTTCGTTGCAGTGGGAAGACTGTCCACGTGCTAAAAAAAAAACCTCGCATCAGCTGACAGAGCAGAAAACATTAGTAGCGGCAAGCCACGATGTCACCAGTAGCGGTAAAAATTATTATGCCTGAAACGTAGCTCTCTTTTTCATTGAGCCACCTGCCAGCGCGCCATCTGGAGGCCACGCCTCCTGCCACGTGTTGCGACCTCTCCTTTTTTGCAAGGGGTGGCCCTCAGAGGCACTCACCTACGTACCTGAGGAGGGAGGAGGGGGAGTGTAACATCCTGCGATAAGGTAGCGCGTTCGGGGCTTACGCTCCAGCATAGTTTATGTAAGAAGCGTTGGTTTACGTTGAGCTACGTCGGCAGTTCTGTCACGAAGGCGTTCACAGTCCAATCTTGCATCTCCGAGACGCTATCAGCGATTACTACGGAATTTGTCGATGCTCATAGTATGGAACTGTTTTTAAACACGAATTGTTGTTTCCATTTTTAAGGTGTTAAATAGTTCTAGCAATATTTACCGAATGGTTACTTTAAAGACCGACAACTGGTGAGATACTTGTAGAAATGAAATACTACTAGTGATTGGATTCTAGCAGAAAGGAAAAGACCATAAAATAGAGTGTCAAATTCCAACACTCTTTTCGCATTGTGGCTAGGATTTATGTTTGCAGACCATGCTTAAAAGTAGCGAAAACCGTTACCTTGCGCAGCCTAGCGTATGAGCCATAAGCTGAATTAAGGAATTATGAAGTCGATCACTTTTCTGACCGTATGCACACGGAGTCCGATGTTGTCGTGCGCGCCTGCCCTCAAAATTAGACTGCGGAAATTCATTATCCAGCTTCGCTCAATTCTGTGCTGCTTACTACGTAAAAAAAGTTGCGCAATGAGAAGCCGCGTCGCGGCTGCCAGTGTATCAAGCCGAGCCACCGCGCATGCGCAATAAACCAGCGCTCTGAACACAAACCGCTCTTGCGCCCTCTATTTGCCGCATGTGAGCATGCGACTTCATATTTGATTGTTTCGTTGATATGTGGGGCTTAACGTCCCAAAACCACCATATGATTATGAGAGACGCCGTAGTGGAGGGCTCCGGAAATTTCGACCACCTGGGGTTCTTTAACGTGCACCCAAATCTGAGCACACGGGCCTACAACAGTTCCGCCTCAATCGGAAATGCAGCCGCCGCAGCCGGGATTCGAACCCGCGACCTGCGGGTCAGCAGCCGAGTCCCTTGGCCACTAGACGACCGCGGTGGGGTACAGCGTAAAGAAGAGGGGAAAAAAACACGACGGAGCCAGTCTTTGTCGCTTCTTTGCACTGAACACACTTGGGAGTTGTCAAAACAGTGGACGTTTTTCAGCGGTCTAGTACTCGTTGCATAATTGCCAGTACAGAGCCGCCGGGTTTTGGTAGTTTCGCGAGGGTAAAAAGCTGCGGATGAGTCAGCATAATCAAGGCAAAATTTTCTCTAGCCGTGTTGAGTGAGTTTGGCCTTTTGGTGACTGCTCAGCACAAATACATGAAACGCTAAAGCGCGAAGAAAAAGCAGAGCTTAGTTTAGTGTTCTTCAAGCATGGATGCCAGCATCGAGTTATCGGTTGGCTTCGCGAAAAGCGAAGCTGGGGACGAGTCAGCACAACTTGAACGCGGGTCCCATGGTGGACTTGAGGACGAGTGAGTGCACGTGGTCCCAGCCCTTCTTGAGGCGCTCCAGGAGCTGAGTCTCGGTCGCCTTCACGTTCTCGGCCAGCTGGTCGGCGCTCATGTTGACGTGGCCCACGCGAATGCTGAACGTCGCCTTCTGCGCATGACGTCATCGAAACAACGAGGGCTCCTCACTGTTCGCAGGATACTTACACAGCAAATGTAAAAATTTACTCGCTGCGTCAGCTTGTTCATCGTACGCCATAGAGTAGACACCGAACACAAACAAAAACGGGTGACTGTTCTCTCCAGCGATTATCCTCTCCGCAAATATGTTGAAGCGTATTCATGTTTTATTATTCAAGCTACATTCAAGCTTATTAGTGTGGCACGCACCCACGTTGCATTTGTGCGGCTCATATAATATTTGGAAACAGTCGGAGTGTGACGTCAAGTACAATCTGTCAAATAAGTGACCACAATTTTGTAGCGCAAGAAAAATAAAAAAAAAAACGAAGGCCAAAGGCTGAGACGGAGACAGCACAAGCGATAAACATCACAATCTCATATCCTCGATTCTTGACCAATTCCCCTGAGTGGCAAGAGCCATTGTGGAGGCATCATCATCATCTTCATCAACATCATCATCATCAGCCTGACTACGCCCACTACAGCGCAATGACTTCTCCCATGATCCGCCAGTCAACCGGTCTTGATCTTTTTGCTGCCACGTCATACCAGCGAACTTTTTGAAACTAATCGGCCCTTATAACTTTGTTTCCCCCTCGTGCGTTTTCCTTCTCTAGGAAGGCAGATTCACGAGGGGGAGACCAATACCATGTTTATTTGGGAGCCCGTATCTCACGTACCCAATCATGTTATAACAGTACTAAATAACATTTAGTGTTGTGTACTTTAATTGTAGCACTCTTTAGCCGTTTATTACTGAGCGTAATATAAGAAATGCTTCTAATTCAAGTATACAGTCGTGTGTGTTCCCAAATAAACATGGTTTTTCAAGTTTACCGCTTGTGTGTACGTTTGTGTCTCTTGCCTCCATTTTTCGCGCTACCAATTCGAAGTCATTCATTTCTACCTACCAGCCCAAATACTGCATTATTCTGTCAAATATCCCACAGGCCACATTAATTTGAATGAAACGAGATGCTGAGTAACTGCTGCTGATTGTCCGTCTTTTGGGCTTTCGTCTGTTGCATTTTATCTTCGCCTTCGCTATCTTTATACTTCCGAGTCCACTGTTCAGTATTGTGTGAACTGCAATATTTTTTGGCAGTTACTTTCAGGATAGCCCTCAATGGAAGTCAAAGCTAGATATGAGGTTTAAATACAGCCTATGCTATCAAGATCCCAAAACGATTTAGAGTAATAGCTGAGCAGTTACCTGTCTGACGCAGTTACCTATCAGACAAATGCTGCCGCTAAGCTCGAAGGCGCCGAATGTATACGAGCCACAGATCCCGAACTATTGTTGGGTTGAAGTGCATGCATTTACCATTGAGGCACCGTTCAACTTTCTACACGAAATTGTTGTACGCCAGGATCCACCTCGGCTACGCGGACGTATTTCCGTCACGTATATATATCGCTAAATATAACTAGCACGATAAATACAAATCTCTACTAAAAAGCCCTCTCGCCGGGAGTCGAAGTTGCGACCCCTCGCTTCGCAGCTCGCGGTGCTACATGACTGGGCCATGTTCTTGAACATACTGACGGCGAGCTATTTATATACATTGTTTGCCATTAGCGGTACTACGAGCTCCATCGATTCAGTGCGTTCTTGCTACGACTAGCTAAATGGCACGAAGGGTATGTAGGACACGCAATTACGGTGGTTTCTAAGATCGCCGTGAAGTGACGAGATCAGCCATGTGATCATCGGCGTCACATCGGCTTTTTGAACGTATGATAGGACGTTCAAGACTGAAAGCTTGTATGCATGTCTAAGCAAACTGCGTAGCAGACGGGGCTTGTACACTAGTGTGTTCTCAATACGCATTCGCACTATGTTGTACATCCTTAGACACTACATGTCCATGGGTCAACGCTTGCACGACTTTATTTTTAAAAAATTGCGAATATGTACGGGTTAAAAGGGCCCTAAACCACGTCGAGTTCAAAGACCAGTGCGTGTGGTTTCTTCCTTGGCTTCAGTATACGCTTCCAACTAGCGCTATCTTTGGCTCCCCACTTATTTCTTCAACAAAAAAACACATGAATCGTCAGCACTGGGCATGCCGCCCGTCAGGATTTTGCTTTTTTAAACTCTGCTCTGCAATGTCCTCTTACACAGACTAAATGTAGAAAATAAAGTGAAACAAGTTTATGGCGTATTATGCCTAGTTCACACTGAAACATCCGCTTTCTGCAGTGACCGAAATTCCCCTGCCGCCGAAACACAGCGTCGTTCGCACTGGATGCGCCCCGCGCCGCCGAATATGCCATCTACCTCGGGGTGAACGCGGGATAGATGCGCTGTCACCCAGTTGTTGTCGCGGCTCGCAAACGCTACTACGCTATCCAGTGGTGCATACTTCGACGATTCTCGTACGCAAGAAGCAAGAAAAGACAGTACTGCTTACTTTGCTGGCAAGTGGCTGTCTTGTAATGCACGAAGAGCAGAAAAACCACCGACGCCAGCGGCGTTGGTGGGTTTGTTTTTGCTTTGCAAGACCGCAACAAGCTCGGTCACGCCAACAGCAAGCTCGGTCACCTCTTTCACGAAATACAGAGGCGAAGTAGGCACAGAGTAGGTTAAACTCCCGTTGGTTTTCAACATTCATTTACGTGCACTGCGGCATAACAAGTGAGTAGGGCTTGGCCGCCATTTTTCAAATTCCTTGACTAGCGCTTCTATTGGTCCACGGTGACCTATTTGGCGGCGGACGCCGCAAAAATCGGTCCGAGAGCGATCGGCGCGGAGGGGGCCCTTTCGGCGGAACTCGCCGCCGCCGAACCGGATTCGGAGCACTTTCGGCGGCCGGATGGCTCAGTGTGAACGCGGCCTTACAGCGACTTAGACAAGACATAACAGGTATTCGACTGCATGGCAAGGCAGGGTACGAGACAATTCACAACAGATATCTGTCATGTCGACCAATCGAAAGCTTATTTTATCCTGACGTCATGTGAGCGAACTTCTCACGTCACGAATTGGGCCGCAAACGAGAGAAATGCCATCAGAGAATAATGCACTCTTTTTTTTTGGCACTGTCAATGGGCCCTTTAAAAACTTCCAGACCCTCGTCGAAATAAATCAGGAGTTCCTTACCAAGCAAATAAATTACCAAATATCTTCCGTGTTGTGCGTGCTTAGTGTAAAGGACGGCTGGAAAGGCCCACTATCGATGGTTGCTTTCGCCCACCGAATTAGGTGCTTCAAACCATGTCGTTTCGATTGCTCGTGAAACCCCAAGATTTTGTAACCCATGACATATACACGACAGTATGCCCAGTACGCATGATTTCAACCCACCGCCTTCATCCAAATCCGGGTGCTGTGCTTGAGCTCCTCCAGTTGGCAGGTATTGATTCGGTCGGAGCCACGGCAGTGATGCATTTGTGTTCCTGGCTGAACCCTTGACCCAGAACCTGGTTGAGATCTCTCACCAACGCCTCAGGTGCCAAGAAGACGTCGTATTTCGACGCTGCGGCAGCAACACAAAAACAAACTCTTGCAAACCCATCTACAGACTTCTAGAGTGTCTGACATCAGTACTATTTGGTTAATCGGAGCCTAAGAATAAATGCGAGCTACACCAAATGCAGGCTATGGTAAACGTACTCTACTTACGGCCACTAACATTCAACGGTTTCTTACAATAAACCAGTTATACAGTTGCTTTCCTTACATGTTTTTTTTGCTTGTTTTATTATACACAGAAAAATATTATTTTCCAGAAAAACAGATTTTTTGCCGCCGTTATATATCGCTGGCATACTACACTGCATGGGAACGAGGAAGAGGAACTGAAGATTTGAGAAGAAAAATTTACTTTAATATCAAAATAAAAGATCTTATCCGCATTGCTGAGTATCACACTTGCTCAGAGTCATCTTTGTACACAGGAGATTTTGAACTCGCTTTCGAAAACGGTTTCAGTACCCCTTCAATGTCGTGCGAAATAGACGGACACCTACCGAGCTGCCTGATGGCCTTGCTTTTCCTCTTCAGCTGCAAAACTTGGGCACAAACCATGAAGCCCAAGTTCATGGCCTTGGCCTCTTCGCTTTCGGTCGCATCGCCGAACACGCAAACACGCAGGTTTTGTTTGACAGGGTACGGCATCCTGTCCAAAGAGACAACAAAGCAAGGTCCCATAAGAACCTATCACACCGTTATTGCTTCTCGTGTGGCTGACGAATGTGGTTTACTAAGTCCTTATCAAGTAAGTTTCAACGAGGCTAACATATATAAACTTAGAAAGCCTAACTTGAGGAAGAAAAGCAATGTCAATGTAAAGGCTCGTTTTTTTTTTTGTTAGACACAATATTAATAATAACTAATAAGATCACACGCTACGTGACGCCAACAGGCGAAATAAGAGTGCTCCACATTCACTGTAGTGGCTACAGGTGGCGCTTACTGACGCTCCCACGTTTAAGTGCACATATATACCCGATAAAGCGGGTGAAGGGATGAGCGCCACTGTGGCACAGTGGTAGAGCATCTGACGCGTTATTCGAAGGTCGCCGGTTCGGTCCATGCCAGCGACAAGTTATTTTTTCGTCCACGTTTCTTTCATCGAATTTACACAGCGGCTACTTCTAATGGCATCCCCTACACTTTCCTTGGCCTCGTTGTGTGTTAGTTATCACTAACGTTAGCAACAGCCTTAAGTGGACATCGTAGCAACCGTTATTATTCCCTTCAGCGGCAATGACTACGTTTGCGAATGCAGTTTCTCTATGCTAACTGTGTCAACTTGCGGTCAAACTAAAACTAATACCTTGTTCATTTCATCAACTGACGGATGTGCATGGTCAATACGACTTGACTTCAGTGTGCTGCGTAAGACCATAGCCGGTCACTTTGGGGAAGTCGTGAGGATGTTCGATTAGTCTTTTGAAGGGCCAGAACCAACATCAAAAGTATTACCTTTCCTTCCTCGAAATGAGTGCTACGAAAAGCTGTCTACGTACACACGAGGAGCCTATGATTTCGTTCATTTTCTGTCTGAATAAAACATTACTGACAGCAGAATAACGAAGCACCTAAATACATGCGACTTACAATTAATTTAAGAAGCTCGCACAGGAGAACACGTTATTTTGTTTCCTTTTTTTGGCGTGTAATATCGAGTGCATTGGATTTCCGCTGCGTGAATTTGACAGATTTGTCGACAGTGCATCATAATTGGCACCTGAACGGGCTTATACTCTCTTAGAAGTCCACAGCAGCGCGGCTTTTCACTTTGAAGGGCCCTCTTTGAACCAATGGTGTCGCTGAGCCAGCGTATAATGCCATGGCCCACCGCTTTCCAACTACAGGCAGCGCTTGAAACCAAGCTTCCATGAGTGCGTCCGCGCTTTAAGGTAGATTCATTTCGAGCGAAGGTAAAACTTCATTTTGATTTTTTTTTTTCATTTCCCCGTCGAAGAGTTCATCGGTCAGCTGGAGAGCGAATTCCGGATTCATTGCTGACGCTGAATTTCTGTTCATCGGGTTTTCTCTGAACTACTTGATGCTGGTTGCGCACAGTGCCGGCTCTCCTTTCCACTAGGAGCTCAAGCAGGCGACATTTGAATGTATTTTATCGTTCTAGAACGAGAAAGACACTTCATCTCACAGGGTATTGAAGAGCCGATCAACAGCATAAATATATATTCCAATACGTGCATCGGCGACTGTTTCAAGTCAGCGTAGAACGCTTAAGCATCCGACGAAACGCTATGGCGATCGTCGTCACCTAGCCCTGCACACAACTCACAAGCGAGGCTTTTCGTGGAATTCAAATTGGGATACGAATGAGCGCACTGAAGGCAGCTCGCAAGAGCGCAATTTCACTGACAACGCCGACGGATTGTCGCGGATAGCGGAGGCGGCCATTTTGATTGAGGTCCGTAAGCGCGGAAGAGCATGCTCCTTACGTAGTAAGCGTGGTGCGAGGGCGGTCAGTCATGGCGTCACGATGAAATGGCGAAGCCATTGGGTCAAGTGGCGTCATCTGACGGCGAAAAAGCCGCACTGCTCCTATTTACTTGTAACCGAGCACGGAGGAAGGAAAGGTTCCTTTCCTTCCTCCGTGTAACCGAGTGTAATGATGTTGATGTACTGGCTCCAAAACTTTATTAGTGTTGTAGGAATGTGCAATCACTGTCATTATGAGTTGAAACACGCTATTTGTGTTAAAAATGGCGCCAACACTGCAAAGCGACACCTAAAGAGGGAAAAATGTAATTAGACTCTCTCAGTTAGCGGTACTTTCTCAAACAATTCAACGTTTTTCGGTGCCATTTTTCAGGCTTGGGTTCACTTCAACTGCAGCCGCAGCCTCTTGCAACTCAATTTGTGCGCGACTGTGCGTAACTTAGCTGAAAACGTCCCCCATACACAGTTTAAATATTGCTGCATAGACGTCACGACATGCACAGAGGCCATTCAATGCGGGGGCACCTATTTTTTCCCTTACTTGACGATGCCTCTGAGACGCCTGTACTTCTGTAAGTTGTAGTCCTGAAGCGTTACGAACAGGTCCACCGTCTCCAGGAAGGCGCGACGCTTTTTGGTCGCTGCTTCGAGCACCCCGTTGACGCACTCGTACAGTTTCTCCTGGGACACCGGCTTCGACGGTCGACTGGGTACGAGGAAAGTTTAGTTATTTTGTTATTTATTTGTTTATTTATTGCTTATTTATTTATTTGTCTTTACTTCTATGTTTATTTATTTATTTATTTATTTATTTATTTATTTATTTATTTGCACAAATGCATAGCCTAGGCAGGAGTTTCAGTATTTATTTATTTATTTATTATTTATTTATTTATTTATTTATTTATTTATTATTTATTTATTATTTATTATTTATTTATTAGAATACCCTCAGGGCCCGTAGGGCATTACAGAGGGGGTGGGTACAACGTTTATAACACACAAGAAAAAAGACAAAATAAAGAAACAAGTGTCAGATGCGCAAATCAGGAAGGCAACATAAGTCAACTAAAAATGTATAAGTAAGAATTCAAGCACATACAAGACAAAGATAGATAATGGAAACTGCGTATAGTTACAAGCATTGCTGAGAAATTGCAGTCTTGAATAACAAAGGGTCTGTTATTGTTACAACGGAAGAGGGAAGGTGGTTCCAATCGGCGGTTGTTTTCGGTAAGAAGGCTGCTGAAAAGAATTTGGTGCGGCAAAACGGAATGGCAACCTTATGCTGGTGATCAATGCGCGATGAGTGGTATGACGGTTGTGAAATGAGGTCTCGCTTCATTGATGGATTGTGAAAAAATGTCTTATGAAAAAAATGCAGTCGCGCCAGTTTCCTCCGGACAGTTAAATTGGGTAGGTCAAGGTTAGATTTCATTTCTGATATGCTAGCAGTACGGGAATAATTAGAACAAATGAACCGAACTGAGCGGTTCTGAACAGATTCTAACGCGTTGATTAAATTTTGCTGCACGGGATCCCATATAGCGGACGCGTACTCAAGCTTTGGGCGAATTAGTGATCGGTATAATAGAATTTTGAGGGACAGCGGAGCGCGAGAAAAGTTGCGGCGTAAGTATCCTAGCGTTCGGTTAGCGTTATTACAGATGTAGGTAACATGCGTGTGCCAAGATAGATTGTTGGTAATGTAAACGCCGAGGTACTTATATGAAGAGACATGCTGGAGGGGAACGGCGTTAATTCTGTAGGTACAGGGGGAGAAATAGATCGCCGGGTTATTGACATGCATTTAGATTTGTTAGAATTGAGAGTCATAAGCCATTTATTGCACCAGGTTGAGACAGTGTCAAGGTCTGACTGTAGAAATTGGTTATCATATTCATTGTTTATTTCGCGGTAAATTACACAATCATCTGCAAATAACCTTATAGCGGAGTTAATGCTGTCTGGGAGATCATTAATATATATAAGGAAAAGTAAAGGGCCTAATACGGAACCTTGGGGTACGCCGGATGTTACTTTAGAAAGAGGTGAGTTATAGCCATTAGTTGTTAAGCCCAAACTCCATAAGCGCGAAAATGCACGCGACAGCGACGAGCGACGCTATGAGCGACGAAACAGGGCGTTCGCGCGACGTGTCGCGTGCTCGTTTTCGCGCGATCGCTCGGTTCTCCAGATTTGGAAACCGTCGCTCATCGCCCGGAAGTGCTGGGCTCAGGCAGCCAATAGTGAAAAACCGGAAAAGACGAATACTACATAGGTGCACGTGACCCTGCCCGAGTCACGTATGCGCAACAAGAAATAACGCAATGTTTATTACGCATGCGCATATAAAAATGCTGCAAGGCAATAATAAACACTTTCCGTTTCATTACACAAATATATATCTTATTTTTAATTGGAAACCGCTCGCTATGCGGTTTTCTTGGTGCGAGTTGACGGCTGTTGACGGCCTCATGCCAGCAACAGTGGAATTCGCTCGCCGAAGCCGTCGCGTGAATGAGGTTTGCCTGCGCTAGCGACTGATCGCGCGACGCCGATCTACGTCGCGTCGCTCGTCGCTGTCGCGTGCATTTTCGCGCTTATGGAGTTTGGGCCTTACAAACTGAGTGCGATTAGTCAGAAAGCATTCAATCCATTTAAGAATGTTCGGGTCAATGTTTAAGGCACTAATTTTCAGGAGGAGTAATTGGTGAGGTACTTTACCGAAAGCTTTTTGAAAGTCAAGAAAATGCAATGCACAAGTGAGCCGCAATCTAAAGCCGATGCTATGTCATTAGTAAAATAAAGAAGTTGGGTTTCACATGAGTAACTTTTTCGGAATCCGTGCTGGTAGGGAGTAAAAAAAGAATTTGATTCTAGGAATGAGACAAGGTTGGAGTAAATTATATGTTCTAACATTTTACAAGGAACACTGGTTAGGGAAATGGGTCTGTAATTGAGAGGAGACTGTGTGTTACCATATTTGTGCAGAGGGACCACCTTCCCCACTTTCCAGTCAAGCGGCAAAGTGGAGGTCTGAATAGATTGCGAAAAGATTAAGGACAAGTAAATTGATGAATACAATGCAGTGTTTTTTAGAAACTTTGAGTTGATTTCATCTACGCCACAAGAAGAGGATAACTTAAGCTTGTGAATTAAATTTTGCACTCCAACGGCATCAACGGTAACAGGATACATGGGTAAAAAATCACGACTAGGCATTTGCGGCAACGCAGAAGCAGAACAACTTGAAAAAGAAGTAACAAAAAAATCATTTAATGCAATGCAACACTCTTCACAGCGAACTGGCTGCCCGTCTGAGTTCGTAAGCGAAATGTTTTTCTTTTCCCTAGGTTTAACAGTTTTCCAAAACTTAGAAGGGTTGGTTACAAGAATTGAGGGAAGGGTATTATTAAGAAAAACGCGCTTGGCTTCCTTGATAGCTGCTCTGTATTCAGAAAGGACAGATTTGTACACGTGCCAACGGGCTAACGAATTAGTCTGCTTTGCCTGACGGAACAACCGTTTCTTTTTATTCCGCAATTTTTTTAGGTCAGTTGAGAACCAAGGGGGGCGTTGGCGACCCTTGATAACGTATGTGGGAATGTATCGCGTGATTAAAGATTCAACTTTCATTTTGAACAAGTTCCAGTTTTGTTGAACGCTGCGATCAAAGAAGCCATTAGCAAAGCTCTCAAAATTCAATTCGAGTTCACTGTTGATTGAGTCATAATCGCCGCGTGAGTAGTCTCTTATTGTTTTCCGATTATTTGACCGACGCCTTAAAGAACCTGTTAGATTGAAGTGCACGAAACAATGGTCACTTATGCCTGGGATATATGAAATAGAATGGACAAGGTCTGGTACAGTGGTGAGAATCAGATCAAGAACATTTGATGAAGTGGGGCCCATTCTTGTTGGTTGCGTTACGAGTTGGGTAAGGTTAAAGTCTTCGCACAGTTCCACGAAATGTAAACTGTCGGCTGAAAGTGAGCTTAATGAACAGGAAGGAAGTGACCAGTTTATTTTCGGGTAGTTAAAATCGCCTAGAATAAAAACAGGTGTATGCGGGTGCCTTTTGACAATATCATTCAAAGCATCATGCAGTTGCTCGCAAAACACTGGCGTCGCACTCGGAGGGCGGTAACAGCCACAAAATATGACACTTTGATAGTTGACATGGAGGGAAACACAGACAAATTCTAAAGGTGATGCTATTACTATATGGCTAGAAACTATATAATCAGCTACGGCTATAAGTACACCACCTCCTGGCGATTCTTCTCTATCACATCTGTAAATGGTATAATTATTTTCACAATCGAACAGCTCTACACTTGCAATGTTAGGGGTAAGCCAGGTTTCCGTTAACACTACAACATCGGCGGCGCAGTCATCAAAAATTGAAGATAATGCATCCCGTTTGTTAAGAACACTTCGTACGTTAGAATATAAAACTGAGTAGTTACGATAAGTAGCCGAGGGGTGAACTTTGTTAGGATAAGAGCGTATCTTCGTCGGCATGCGTAGCGGAGGACGAAGCTTCTGATGAGGTCTGCGCATTTGTATGCGGCTCACAAACGCTGTCGGTCACCGGAGAGTACACAAAGCACTTTTTGTTGATGTAAAGCTTATTGTACTTGACGGTATACTTCTCGCCACTCGCCCTGCCGAATTCAAAAAGCTTCTTGCGCACGCTTCTTGTTGCGCGGCAGAAATCCTCGCTGATTGACACATGAGACTCGCGAAAACTACTTCTAGACTGCAGTATGCTTTCTCGGAACTTAAAAGAAGCAAATTTTACGATCACTGGTCGATATTTGCCAACTACGAATCTGCCTAGCCTGTGCGCGCGGGATATGCGGTCGTCGCTACTTCCCAAGTTTAGCTTCAGAGTTTCATTGAGGATTTGGCAAATTTTTTCTTCTGATTGCGCCCACGTTTCCGAATCGCAATCTTCTATTCCATAAAAAATCAAGTTTTCTCAGCGAGAACGATCTTCAAGTTCGTCAAGGCGCTTGTTAACCGAAAGTACCTCCGGTACCCGTTGACGATTCGGCTCGCTGTCTGAGACCCGGACACATTCCTCAACTGCGCATAATCGGTTGTCTAATTCTGCCACTTTTTGTTCAAGAGACACTTGCGCTTCTCTAACTTCGTTAATGGATTCCATAAGTTCTTCGTGTTTTGCGTCTATCTTAGAGTGCAGCCCCTTAATCAACGAGATTAACTCGTTGTATTGCTTCCCCGTATCTTCTTTTGGCGGGCCCGGGTTTTCCTCAACATCACCGGACATAGCCAAGTATAACATCACTACAAACATTATAACTACGAAGTGGAAGAAAACTGATGATGATAAGAAAATTCAAAAGCGCAAGGTACAGAATAACCTGGTAAGGAGCACTGGACTGCTCTACGGATAACAGGTGGTCAAACGGCAGGCTATGGTTGTTTTCAGAAATAATGAGAATTTAAATCCATTAGTTATGGCAAAATTATGAGTTATAGAAAGCACGTAAGTATGACGAGCTCACCGAGTTGATGATGGAGATAAATACGGAGATCAGCCTAGTCGTGTCTCACACTATGGGCCATGGTGTGAGATATCTCACACCATGGTCTAGCCCAAGCTTCCGATTTGACAATATCAGAAATTCCAAACGCCGATATTTGACCCGGGATTGCAATAGAATAGCTCGATTTGCATGACTTGCACGAGAGCCCTGTAGGACTTGACAAACCATGGCTTCCTCCTAAACATTTGGCGCTCAGCTTAACTTGGCCACAATCATCTGAACAATTTAGTATACAACAAAATTAATAGATTCACAACAAATAATGTCAATGCTAGTGCAGTAATATTGCATAGGTGAGTGTTACTGGCATTAGCCATAATTTAGCCAATATTAGACGGTGCTAAAGAGCACCTGTACTGTGCAAGTAAACAGGGCCGTTAGAGCCACAAGGCTTAGCGGGATAGCCTGGTACAGCCTCCGGGATCAGCCCGTATTTTTCGTCACAAATCAGATACCTTAACCGTGGCACACTGCAAATAGAACAATACAAAGGAGACGTCGAGTCTATTCTTCGTTTTCCTGCTTTTTGTGTATGTGCGCTTGTGAAAGAGCACGTGCTATTGTTCCTATATCTGTAAACTGTTATACGTTGTCCTTATATTTGACGATTCGTGGAGTTCCAACGTTACATTTTATGTATATATAATATGCATGGCGAGCGTTATTATATGGCGATGTGAATACTATGTAAAAATCATTTTGTCAAATCTGTCATGTGCATGTTACTGCCATGTGAGGGGCCCTAAGCCATCGTCCAGTTTCTGCAACAGCGTTTTGCTAAGGTGTCCCTCCAGATTGTTTTTTTTTTTTGTAAATAACATTGAATGGAATGCACAGTCTTCCCTTCCCTATCGCACTTTAGTTATGGTTTAGACTTCCTTGTTTACCTACAAGAAACTTCCCTTACTTATAGACTTCATCCACGTATGTTAACAGCGGTAGGCACCGTCGACATACCGAGGCGCTTGTAGCGACGTCTCACTGCACGTGGGCTCCGCCCAGTCAAAAGCTCGCCATAGCCACCTATGAGCCCGTGATAACTGCCGCTGCAGCTGGAAAGCTGCCTCCGAGCACGTGGGAGGCTCCCCGGCATGCTGCGCTCAGAGGCAACTTTGCAGCTGCTGTGCCAGTTGTCCCATCATCATAGAGGGCATAGGCGAGCTTCGGGCTGGGCGGAGCTGATGCGCCACGGTGTCGCTACAAGCGCCTCTGTATGTTGACGGTGCCTACCCCTGTTTAAAAACGTGGAATATATCTACAGGCACCATGCTTGTAGGAAACGCAGCTCCGCACCACTGAAGGCTGTAACGGCTGAGATCCCTGTAGGAAAGTGCTTATTCAGGCATAACAATCCAGGCTCTTACGGTGGAGGTGGCGCTGGTTCAGCTGGTGCTGGTCCAGGAGCTTCTTGCTCTGGCTCTTCCGGCTGTGCGGGGACGTTCAGGTTGGCACTGCGCAAGAGTCGTCGTCGCAGAAAAAAAGAAAAAAGACTGCAAATTTTGTTTATTTACTCTAGTGTACATGTCAGGTTCAAAAACGTGAAAAAAAAGATGCCTAACTAATCGGTAGGATGCACGAGTGAGAACACGGGGCTCAAACTCTGGAGTCTGACCACTTCCGTCTGCTAGATGAAAATAGTCGCCTTCAGTCCTGAACTGTTCAAAAGTCATGGAGTAAAAAAAATTGGCCCCGTATCTGCATTGTAACACTGCAAATGTCGTTGAAAGACGATAGTCTTGCGTCTGGAGAGAGTAAACAAAACGTTTATTTGATGTTCTGCGCAAGAAAATTGGTGAATGGTGTACTGAATGTGCTGCATTAGAGTGCCCCGACGCGTTCAGCGGAGGTGAACGAGTGCATCGAGGTACGTCACGCGTGAGACATGAGCGCTATCTGGCAGTTATATTGAAAAACGAAGCGCGCGGCATGCGCACCCGTCTCGGAGGCTATAAGGTGTAGAACGCAAGGCGACGGGTAGGTGCCACCACCATGTCGTCTTAGCAAAGCGTTGGAAACACTTGTCTTTTCTTGAAAACGTTGCATTGTAAGCGCCGCGTGGTAAACGCTACGGTCCCTAAAATTACTTATGTATGCCTTTTCCAGTAAAAAGACACACATACAGAACATTGACATGTTGTTATGGTGCCTCGCATAAGCGAAATAATTGCTTTCTAATTGACAATCGCACAAGTATGAATACTGAAGCTTGGGCAATATTGGAGGGCTCTGCGGATGGTGTTGGCCGTTTTGGGAGTTATTTGGTGCCAGTTGGAGTATTCTTACGACGGAAAAACAGACTAATGTGCAGACAGATCGACATTCAGGCAAATAAAGGTCCCCAAGAAAGACTATCGGGTTTAAGAAAGGAATGTCATGGTGTCGAAGGCTTCCACAATGGGATGCCCCTTCCTCAGAGCGACAAAAGCAGCTACGTCGTGGGTGAAGAACCCTAATTTCACATCGTGATGTAGGTAACGCCCTTTTGAGAAAATTCTGGTAGCATCAAAAATGTTCGGTGTTCGATGACTTCTCGCCCCTGCAAGTCTCTAACCTCCCTCGAACTTTTTCGTCTCTATGTACCTCCTTCCGCATCGTTATTCACCCCTTCCGGTATCATTGTAGGCCTTTTATCAGGACCTTATGTGCGTGTACGTGACACTTATACCATGTCCCAACGTCAAGAACCCTGTTTGGATGATCTATCTCTAACGAAGATGTTTCTCCAGCTGACCTGAGTCTCTTCTCTGTCCGTAAGTCGTGTCTTGCTGAATGCCATCACCATTCGGCTAATCTGTCGTTTATGTTACCCCACATTAACTGAAACCATCGCTATCACTGTACAGCTGTATCAAGTGCGCGTTTCGATAGCGCAGCAAATGCCTATTGTTACGTAAGCTGTAAACTCTACTATGATTGACGGTTGGTTTTGACCAGGTTCCCCGAGTACAGCCGCCAACACTTACCCAACATAGCATTTACAAAACTCGTGACTCAAGCTGGTTGTAGAAAGGTGAACGCCAGGGCTACTTTGATGCAGGAAAATTGAGAAATTACAGCGGTAGAACGGTAAATTGGGCTGGTTGGAATGCTTGCGTGATTGACGTGGCGCTAAAAACAAAGACTTAAGGATCACAGAGGGGAAACATCCTAGCAATGATGAACGCACAACCAAGCAATAGGACTTTCTGTTGGGAAAGCATGATCTTCTGAGCGTAAAAGACAAGAAAATTCCGCAAACGCTTCAATGCAAAGGCGAAAAAGGGAGTCCACATACCCCATGCTGAACGAGATCTCCCGAACACGATGATGTCCACGATGATTCTGCTACTGAAACTGTGGCCCGTGCACACAAAGGTGGATTTGCTAAGAATTGAAGGATGACTTGAAACTTCATAAAATGGTACGTGTAGCATGCAGAAATAAAAAAATACAAAATTGTGTTGAAGTCAACAGCGTGGTACATGACAGGACAGTTTATTAACAGAAAACAAGTGCAAAAGAAACATGAATCAGCACTCACGTCTAACAAGGAATAGAGTGAACTGATAGAAGCAATGACAATAGGTTTTGAAAATAAGTAATACCTTGAAAACAAACACACGCGGGACCCAAATTTATTCCTAGGTTTAAATGTGGAAGAAAGTTTATTCACCTTTTCCACAGAAAATGTATTAGACTAAGTGTGGTGAATCCAACACATCGTCATAAGTGGTCATGTATATACTCATATAAGGTTCATAGTTTACAACAATGGACGTTATTGCACATATTTGTTTCCATTCTGATAATACGCTAATGCGGCATGTGAATAATGTAGAACGGATATGGCCGTACTACAGTTTCAGCTTCTTCCACGTACTTTCCGACTTCACCATGTAGTGGGTCAGTGCCATTCCACAAAAATCACTATACACGAACATTCAACATCGAGTCAAGAAGAAGACGAAGCCAGTCTATCCCTGCACTGGCCTGCCCTAAGGCGCAAGAAAAGTGGCTATCAAAAGCGTCCCGCAGCTTTCGCCACGATGAGTGACATCGAGACCAACCCGTACAGCACCCAGTACCCTGTTGTGGTCCAACCACCGTACCGCTCTGTGAGATCGTACAGTACTGGAGCGTATGACACAATGGGACCATATGGCTTCATGGGACCGTATGGCCCTATGTTACCCTACGGCCCCATGGCACCTTACAGTCGCTCTCGGCAGCAGGGCTACGACAGCCGCACGTGAGTTGCTTTTCACGTCAGTCAAGCATAAACGACGGTGACTCCACGTCCCATACAGGAGCACCTGCATGTGCTGTGCAAGTTCCAGTTGCAATAGCGCGTTGTCTTTAGCATTCCTCTACATAGCTCTTCAACCAAAATCTTCCTCTGGAGTGTATGTACTAGTTATAAAACATGTTACATCCCCAACTTTATCTAAAATTTGTACATAGTGTGTTCTAGATAATTTCTCCTAAAGCATTTTCTGAAACATTTCAGTGGCGTAGCCAAGAGGCCACTGAAAGTTTCACGATTTGCTGTTCCTTAACGAGCACCATCTGCGTTCTTTCACCCCTTTCCAGCATCGGTGTTCCTTAACCTCTTTGGGGGGATGGGGGGTTCTTGCCCAATTTCTTTTTCAATTTTGCTTGCATATATATATATATATATATATATATATAAACGCACACAAGAACTTGCATGAAGAATGCTTCAAACTCTCCCCACCCCCCAAAAAAATTTCTGACTACACCCCTGCAGCATTTATGTAATCATGGAAACTCTCAGGTGCATTGTGGCTCTGGTTGGGCCAGTTTCAGCGTCCAGAATTTTTTATTTACCCACTCATATTTATGTCAAAATGCTTATATTTCAAATGACATCATACAAGAGCGAATCATGAGTACTTGTTGGGTGTTTTGTACCTTTTATTTCGACCTGTACACTTTTCCATAGAATCATCGAAGGTCTTCAGTATCGTAGTTTATTGCCTCGCGATTCGACTGCCGCAAAAATGTCCCGAATGTGCCGAGAGCGAATGGAACTACAGAGATTAGTCGCAGGCTTCAAGCACTTCAGTTCTTTTCTCGCTCGGCGATCAGGCTGGAAGTTACACAGGCATATATAGCGCGGAGAAGCAAGTTACGAAAACGATAAATGTAACCTTAAATCTGTTTCACATGCCGCGATTGCAACTAAAAAAGATCGTTCCGTTCAATCCCATCGCTCTGTTCGCAACTGTCGCTAATGGCGGTTTTGTTCCACATGGACCGCGAATGGTCCGCGATTTTCGCTCTGTGACTGGAGCGACGAGCTCTTGCCACCGATCTTAGTGACAGACACGAATGTAATATAATAGTATGTGCATTATGATATCATGAAGTTTCCCTGAACGGTAACGAAGGGCCCGCTTGTTTCGTCATTTAAGAACACTTTCCAGTCTAAACTCATTTTAAAACGCACAGCATCGGCCATTACCAAAACAAACACGTCGACTCTATTTCGACGGCTTGGCCGGACCAGCCCTATTTCGACGGTCTCGACCGAAAATCGCTCCCGCCGCTGCGATCAGAGCGAAAATTTCCAACATGTTGAAGCTCGCTGCGGACCGCTGCGGCGGGAACGAACTGCTCTTTTTTTTCGCTCGCAGCCTGAAAATTGCTACTTTTTGTGTAATGCGAAACGGTCTTTACAAGACGATCTTGCCAATAAACAGGATGAAAGCAGATTGGCTCAGGGACTAAACGGGAGTTAAGGATAGCATAGTTGTTATCAAGAAGAAATGGACATGACCTTGCACGTAGCGTTCAGGCGGGATAACCACTGGTCATTAAGGATAACGGACTCGACTCCGAGAGAAGGCAAACGCGTTGGGCGGAGAGTCAGAATTAGGTGGGCAGATGAGATTAAGAGCATGGGCAGCAGAAAGCACAGGACAGGTTTGACTGTAGAAGCATGGGAGAGGCTTTTGCGCTGGCAAGTGCCGCAGTCAGGTTGATCATGATGATGAAGAAGTTACGGGCCAGCCAGCGTCATGCACTTTGAACGTTTGGCAATTGTTTGCGTGCATTTTATTGACGTAGTTTTTCGTGACCGAAATGACGTCAGTGAGGTCCTTGTTATAACTCCTCATAAAAAGTTTAGTGTTTGACAAAGCGAGACACAAAACTGATGTGGACCACGTCGTTCAGGTGGAAAGTAAAATTATTCTTTCCACGCTTGCTTCGTCTCCTTCCTGGATGTGACCAACTTCCGGTGACAGCCAAAACCTGCTGTTCTACATCTGCGCGGTGTCGTTCATGTGCGCCTTCGTGGTTCTCATGGTGTACTCGGCTATCGCGATGAGGCGCCACCTGTACAACCTCACCAACGGAAGATGGCTGTAACAGCAGCAGCTCTGCCAGCAGCTCTGCCAGGAAAGACTGACGTCACTGGCTCCTCGACGCCAGCACCATTTGACTGGCGGCAGGCCGAATGACGATCGCACCGGTGACCGGGACGGTGTACGAAACGATATCGTCCCCGATCAGTACCGGTGAGTGCACGTTGCTTCCGATTGTACTTTATTGTTCACAATGGCTATAGTGATTGTTCGGCGTTTACACCTTAAAACCGTGATATGAATTTGGCGGATGCCATCTGGTGTTCTTTAACATGCTCATAAATCTGAGCACGCATGTCTCACGCATGTCTCACGCATTCCGCCTCCGTGTTGATGTGGCCACGACGTCAGGTATTTATTCCCGTTATCTTCGGATCAGCTATCGAGCCCCATAACTACAAGACCAATGTGGAGGATACCTTAACGTAGAAGTACTGATTTGTTCTAAACACTGGCCCGTTATTTCTACGACTGGCGTTTTGATTTGTGTAATTTGCCCTTCGTAACGTTCGCTTCGCATTGTGACAACCACTCTTCTATTATTAGCATGCCTGTCCTGCCAAGTTCAAATTTCGTAGATGTATCATTCCTGTTGTGACAACCCATTGCGTTATTTTTTGACTGCTCATGTAATGTCCGCTTTGTTAATGTGATGCCTTACGACTCACCCTGCAATGGCCTAATGGCCAGCGGTATATTGTTAGTACAAATAAATGCGTTGGTAAAGGTGACAAATACGCGAAAAGAGAGGGTGTCATGGAGGTGGAGGCCGGGCTCCCTCGCCTTCCTCCCGGATCGGTTCACGCTGGCAAGAAATTCTGATCAATCACTGGTGGAACTTGTTTGAAACATGTACCATAGTGCTACAGAAGAAGCTGTTTCACGCTAATAAAGTTTATGTATTCAAGCTGACGCTATGCGGCGAATGATGCAAACACGTGATTACTTTCGTACGAAGTTGCTTGCTTTTCGCGCTCTCTAGAACTAGAAATAATTCGCTTCCCACCTTGTCATCCACCATTTTACGTTATTGGCTAGCCATACATGTATTTACTAGTACGTATATCCTATTCCCGACTGAGGATCACTATCTATACTACTATATTTATTTACCAGAGCTTTAATTACTACTCCAAAACACCAACAATAGTATACAGTCTTAAAGGCAGCAATAGTTCATTCTTCAGCAGTTAGAGACTTTTTTTTCTTTTTTACTTTTCATGCAAACCAACCACCCCGCAAGGTACACGCTCAACGTAACAATCACATAGAAGTAGCCAATTATTTCGCAAAGCACGAGTCCGCAACTTGTCAGTTGACAGGAAACGTCAGAGTAGGAGCGCTACAACTCTAAATTAGCAAAGCTCCGACATTGCAGTCATTTTAAAGCAAATGATGTCCAAATTGAGCGAAGCAGGAAGTTAGGAGAGAGTAAACGCGTGAGAAGGCGGATTCATCAAATGCACTGAGCTAGCCTAAAGTGCAAGGTCAGAAGTTCGAAGCCACGCCGGGTAAGCTTTCCTTACGGAAGCATGGGCTCTCAAACAGACAAAGGCCAGGCGAGCTACGAGTCATGTGAATTTTAGAGCTGATAGGTGGTAAGGCGCTATTCGACAGTGCTAAGAAAGTTCAACAGAACCGTCTACTCAGAGTGAGCGTAGCAGCCTAGCATGCCATGACAAACTTCTGTATTATAAGAGTCCATTCAAAAAGGTCAAGATAAGGACGTACAGGAGACCTGATCTCAGGGAGGAAATGAGACGCGTGCATTCCTGAGATGGTTCTGAGATGCTCACTTCTGATGGGGTGGTGTTTTTTTTTCTTCATTCACTAACCGTATAGCTTGCTAGAAGACACTCCTGAAGAACGTAAGAGGCGGATCGTCGGCACCGACTACTCGTCCCCTTCCAT